AGGAGGGGCTTCTAGTTATATCGCCTGAAGTTTCTGACTGAACATTGAGCAGTGGGCACTTTTCAACAGCATCATGTATTCATGAGCAATGTGAAAATTTTTGTGGTTAAATTTCCAACATTTTTTTATTACTGATAAAATGATCAAAATAACATGCATCTGAAAAATTATCAGTAAGCTGACAAATATAAAGCAGTCAAGAAACGATACTCTAACTCACAGCAACTAGATATACCATAGAAGTTGTTCTATACATTCTGCTCTTAAATGCAGTGGTACCTATATAATGTATACATGTGGACACATGTACAGGCTGGGAGGGTTCACTGGTATGGATTTGGACTTCCATGATACAACTGGGATATTCTTGAATTTGAGTTGCTTCCTTCTATCATTTTCTCAGATTTTTGTATTTGAAATACAAGATTATCTTGCTTTCAAGACTTGAAGACTTTCAGACAAATAAAGTTAAAACTTGAAGGCAATCTCTAAGAATATTACTCTAGAAAGATGGTTGTATGCTTTCCCAATATTTCCCTTGTGCCTATTTATTTACTTTTTCTCAGTCGACACATGTGTTCTATGTGAATTAATTATGTATGTAATAAGTAGAGAAGGACAGGCTCTAGTTTTATTTTACCATTCCATTTTTCCTTGTATTGGTCACCTAGAAGATTTGATCCAAAGTTCCAAAACTGGGCTTTTTCTTCACTTAATCAAAGGTGTGACCTTTTCTTCTGATAAGGGCTCAGAGAATGGATTTCTCCCAGCTGTTGCTGAGCCCAGAAAATGGGCCTTTTGTCCCTCCCCACAATCCACTCTCACCAAGGAAACCTCAAAGATCCTTCTTGGCCCTGCCTTGCTGCTTTGCTGAGGGGTGTGGCTGGGTGATCACTTTTGATAAGCAGAGTCTCAGGACAAAGAGCAGTTGAGCTAGTTAACAGCACTTCCTACAAGTTGGTAGGAACTGGTCCAGTTCTACAAACAATTACCCAAACTGGGTGATATCAGTGGTTTCATTTTCAGTGCTTGCTCATGGTCATAAGTAGGCATGAAGGGCTGTGTGGAAGAACTGTTTAGTTGCAATTGGCCTGGATTCTTGATGAATTTGAAAATCTCTGCTAGGAGAAGGCCTTGTATTGTCTGGGAAGTTACCTGCTTTCATTTGTCACTTTTCCTACTTTTGTTGTTTAATTTTCATTTTGAAGTTTTTGATCTGAGAAAAGTGTCAATGGTTGGACAGTACTTAGGGTTGGCAACTAGTTACAACCTCCTGCTACTAGTGATGGTATTATACTAGAATTTCAGGGACTCACATGGGGTCTATTGCCTTAGGCTTCGTCCACCCCTGCCCAGTCTTTGAACATAAACCAAAATTGTGTGAGCACAGAACTCTTGTACCTCAGGAGCTGCACTGCTTAGAGTTGTCTAGCCTGTCATCTAAAAAGTCTAACTTAGCTATGGGGCACTTCCACACTTAGCATATGGTCCAATCTGACACTCAAAGAAGGCAGCTTAGAATTGAGCTGGAAAAAAACATATATACAAAATGATGTAAAAATAAACTTTTGTAATAAAAAAAATTGTCACAGGCCAGCTGTTCTCACAATTATGTACAATAATTCTGCAATGTTAGCCCAAACCAGGAAAAAATAATCTCCTTATGCAAAATGTATGCGATTAATAAAAGATGAACATTTTTATTCAAAAAAAAAGGCAGCTTAGTGTATGTGATGTGGGGTTTCACTGTCATCTGCTTAAACTAGGATCAAGAGATCAGAAGTCACCACCCGTCTCCACTGGGGTACATACATGTTTTCTCAAATGTCTCCAAATCCTCCTTGGCTGCCCTCAACCAAGAGTAGACTCAATATCCTCATGGGCCCCTTGTTCCTCATAGTAATAGAAACTTGCAGTAGATCCTATAGCTCCACACTGGTAACGCAGATTTCAGGTGGTGAACAAACATTACAGCAATCAATATTCCAGAAAAGCATTTTTTTCTTATCTTGCAAGTGATCCATTACTGGCATCACCAATGAATCAGAAGAAGGAAACTCGTGCATAGTGAATGCTAAGAAATTGTAATCATTACTTATCAAACCAACAGTGTTCAGGGGTGCTGATGTGCACAACTGCCGAAAGCAGGCCATCTCTCCAAGCCTACAGAGGACTCTGCAACAGTATAAGGCTCAGAAGCAGACTTGCTAAAAGCAATGAACGTTTGGATCCAAGCCCCTAAAGTCTCATTTTCCTTAGGGGAAAGTCATCGAACCCCAACCCTGTTCTGTCCCCTGTGAGAGCCGTCTGAGGTCCCTGTGGGGCCAGCCTTCACAATGACCGGAGAAAAGCTGCAAAGCCACTACTTCCTGCGTGCAGACAAAAGACCTCCAGGCCTTCTCTGTTCTTGGATTCCGCCTGGCTTTGTACAGGGCGCTCCAACTGATGGTCTGGGGTTTATTGGCTTGGCATGGCAGGTAGCATGCACACCTTCCCAGGTCATTCTTACTCTTGGCCATGGAGGCACCGGAATTGTGTGTCCCTGAAAACTCCAGATAGCAGACTGGCAGCTGTTAGATGCCACCTATAATGGGTTTCCCATCACCAACCACCCACTCTCTGGCCTGACTGATGCAGAGGCTCAGGACACAGCGTACATGGACACCCTGAACCAACCCAACTGCCTCACTGTCCAAGGGGGGGGGGGGGCAAGGACAGGAGACAAATGCCTGGAAACCCACACCCCTCCGTCCCCTTCAGAGGTTCTGCATTATTTCTTCCAGTCCCATAGTCAAGGCGGGTAGAGGAGCCTGCTGGTCTCTATATCTGACCTAACTGGCAGCTGCCACTCAGTCCTAACTAAGCCCCCACTGCCATCAATTTTTACCTCCAGGATGCTGCCTTTGGCCAGACCTCCTGAAATAAAAGTGGTCAGCTCAGGGCCAGCATCCAACCTCAGAGAAGGCCAAGCCTTTCTCAAATGCGAGGCTGCCAGAAGCTTTCACTAACACCTTTGGGTTTTGTGGCTTACTTGCTTCGAATGGAAAAAAGCCACTAGCCCAGCCCCCTCCCAGGCCCTCGGTATCCACCCATCCAATATGTAAAAAACCCAAGACAAAGGAGTCAGGAAAACAAAGGCCTCAGGGACAGGCCTCGCTCAAAGAGAAATCTGCTCCTTTTCATAAGAAATTACTGAGGCACAAATCACCCATTAGTCCCTCTTTCTTTGCAACAGTTCCACTTACACTCGTGAAACTTTGCAGACATGCTCTCCAGTCAGTTTTGATCTCTAACAGTTTCCCATGTTATTTTCTTCATGAACAATTAATTCTTAGGGATCCAGGGCTAAGAGAGTGAAGAGAATGATGGAAATAAGGACCCGGAAAAGGGAAAATGTAAGCAACCAGGCCATGTTGTTCCTAACTTCTCACAGCCAGGTTCCCCAGGAATCCTCCATTTTGGGGCTGGGCACCAGACCACTGTGCTGAATATGTTGAGGCAGCCATTTGAGGGGGACCTAAGAAGTGGGTTCAGCAGCAGCCCAGTGTGAATTCCTCACAAAGCCCCAGCTGTAGTGATTTAATTTTATATTTCATCACAACACTGGCCCAGAGGCAGGTCCCCATGTATCTGACCACGTGACCTGCAATGGTTTCTGTGGTTTGATTATTAGCACACATGTGTATGCCACCAAATAAACTTTAGAGATCAGTCTTACCCTGTTTTCTCATAAGTGACTAACACGTGGCTCTTACAAAAGATTTAGAAGATAACCATGTACTAATTGACAGTCAAAGAATAATACAATCTTGCTTCCAACACTGATAATCTTTGGCATATTTATTCCGATGCTTTCAACCCAGTTTTATACTTACAGTAGGAGCCCACAATAAAATTACATTTAAGTTGGGTACATATATGCATCATGTTTTAGCTCCAAAATTTTAACATCAGATCACCCGGTGGATTGACACTCAGCAACATCTACAAGATCTTGATTTTAGACTTTTTACATTTGCAAAGAACTTCTTAATTGACCTATTTATTAAGCATTTTTTATTTGGTTTCATTTAATCTTTTAATTCATACTCAGGAAAGAAAATTCCAATAATGCCACCACTCAGGAATCCTGACTTGGAAAGTTGCCTTACCTAAGAATTCCAGTTCCATAAACTCTAAAACTAAACACTAAATACTTCTGCCCCAGTACACTGTGGTTTCTTTTGTAATGCTTCTCAAATTTTATAACACATTTTTATCTGAAAATTAAAAATAAACTGTCAAGAAAGAAAACAGGATTCCTTAAATGAAGGCTGGAATTAGTGTTGCTCAACTCAGTGCCCAGATGTGTATCCTAAGAAAACTTGGAGGTGGCTTTCCACGTAGTCATAATCTTTCATGCAAAACATACAGATATAAATATGTTGGCTGAGAAAAGCATACTCTAACACTGACCATCACTGTAGATACGCAGCTTTTTAAAATGTCTACATATAAACATGTATATAAATGTTTACACACACAACCTGGATTTTCTTTGAACATAATTAGATGTACACTGGTTACAGTTTTGCAGTCTTCAGCATTACCTGACACCATTTCCATACCTGCATAACAATATATACTTCCCAGTGTATGAGTGTATTCTTACAATTTACACTAGAACACCTTTCTATTCCAAGAAATTACAATAGCTATCCATACTGCTGGCCAAGCATTCAAATTCTAAGAAATTATAAATAAGAAAATGGTACATCAGCTTGAAAAAATAACCACTTGAGTAATGTCTTTTAAGGCATTTTGTCTCCTCACTTTGCACCATTTTTTAAAACTCAATGTTCAAATTCCCTTCATCTTTTTCAGCATTAAAACACGTTTTCCTACCTTGCAACCTGAATGCTTTTTAAACAATCAGCTATTCTTTGGAATTCTAAAACCTGTTAAAATTTCGCCACTCGTCTTTGCATTTTTACAAACAACCATGCTTCTTTATAATGTACCTGCTACAACAGCCAAGTGTGAAGAAGAGAAGCGAGGTCTCAGGTAATGCCACCTCCGGCAGAGAAGGACCTTTTACATGTGGGTTCACCTTCGATCCTCTTCACTCGTTTTTGGTTCCCATCTGCTTGTGGGAAGTCTGCGGGGCGGTTCCACTTTTCTCGAGGGTCTCCCAACTGGAAGGAATTTGGGTGCACCTGAGACCTCCTGCATGCAGTGTGCCCCCCGGGCTTGGCCAGCCCTCGGCACGCGAACTCGACCACCAAACATGGGCCCGGACCCCAGAGCCCCGGGAGCGCGCGCTCTGAGGGATGGGGAGAGGCGAACACCCACACCCTGGCTTCGTTAGTGGCTTCCTCCGGGTCCGCCCACCCTGGGAGAACACAAAGACCCACCCCGTGACTTCCTGTGCTGGACTTCCTGGCAGCTGCCAACGCGTTCCTGCCGCCTGCTTGGGCGGCTGCCAGAGCCCGGGCTCCACCTTTGGCCACAACTTTACCTCAGGTCGCTTTCTAGAAGGGGCACTGAGCTCCATTTTGGGGGCTGGGCCTGGCCTCCGCCTCCCCACCGAATGGACATTTCTAAATGAAAAGTGGGTTCCCGGGGAAAGCCTTGGGGCTTTTTCCAGTGGTTTCCTCGCGATGGCAGTGTTGTTTCTGGAGTGCTGTCTCACGCTGCTGGAGCCCTCTCCTCCCTCCCCTCTGCTGTGGAAAAAGTGTGACCAAAGACAAAGGCACCAGAGGAAGTATGGCTGCCTCACTTCTTTCCCAGTCCTGAGAAACGTGCTCACACTGCTGTGATCTCTTGGTTCCCATCCGCAATCAAACGGGAGCCTAAACCTACATTCTCTCAGGCATCTTTTGTGTCCAAGAACTCAATTTGCACGTATCTAATCATTACAGTTTTACTTTTCCTGCACTCGCCATCGGATTCCCCCGCGTTTTCTCTTGGCACCAAATTGTCTTGGGACATGAGGAGGCAACCTCTGGGATTCAGACCTAAGTGGGAATCTGCTAGCACCTAAGGGCTTGGGGAAGAGCAAATCAAGGCACTGGTGCTTGGGATTCTGGATCTGACCCTTCCAGGTTCCCTGGAGATAGTCTTGATTTTTTTGGTCTGAACAGTAGGAGTTGTGTTTTCAGGAGAAGCAACGATTTGTCTCGAGCCCTAAAGTAAGTGTCTAGACAGTTCTCAAGACCGGGTGCTATGCAATGCCCACTTGGAGTAATGCCCATTTTATGTTTGCCTTGCAGTGAGAGGGCACCCAATTTAGTCTCATGGTCTCAGCATTTAATACAACTTGTTTCTAGGTCATGTAATGGCCTTCAGTGTGGCTTCTTCTGACTTTACTATGTATATGCATGACCTCATTTATTTACTAAAAATTAAATCTTGTTAGTATTCTATAGCGACAAGCTGTCATTTGGACATATTTCTATCCAAGAAATAAAAGTGAAAATATGATATAAACCATGACATACAAATTCCATCTTGATATAAATTTATTTTGTGTGTGAAATAAAATGTCACTCTGTGCATGTACATACACCTGCATACATGAAATGCACATGTATACACGCAAACTCATACATATATAGCCATGACATCTAATTTAATTGCATTCGTTTTGTGATAACCCCCATAATTAGATATGTAATGTTTATACACATATGTGTGTATATGTGTGTATAAAAACACACATATATACGTGTATATGTTGATATATACTAACGTAGTAATGTATATGTTAGTTTTTCTATAAACATAATTAAATACATGATGAAATAGTTTTGAACAAAATCTTCAATATCTTATATGACTTTCATCTACATACATATATATTTGAAAACTTGGAATTTCTTCTATTGTAGGATGAGCCTTGATATCCAAGAGATTTATAAAAATTTTATTATTCAAGAACTTTACAAAACAAATTTGCTACAGGCAACATGTTCCAACTTTGAGAATTAACAAGGCCAAAAGTGTCGTAATACTACTAGCAATGTCTTTAAAATAAAATTAAAATTTCTTCATATTTCCAGTGATCAAATATGTTTTCTGCACTTACTGTACCCAGACTTCATTAAAAACTTTATCAAATATTCTTTGAAAGAATGGTTATTTCTTAAAGAGCATCCTCACACATTTGGAATTTCTCAAATTAGACATGCTTCTTAGTAAGTCCAGGAAAAGCAGTCATTTACAAGGAAACTGCAGGCAAACCTCAGACAAGCAAATATCTATAAAACCTGGTTGTATCTCAGTCCTCTTGTTGTATATATTCAGAGATATAGATTCCTCAGGGTAATGTGATTAGAGAAAGTTGTCATAAATATATAATTTCTTCTGGATATACTTGATCTGGGTTTGCTATTGAGTTACAAATATAACTTAAGCATCGGGGAAAATGTTGGAGAATACACACAAATCTATGAAAGACATGGAAATACTTCACCCCAATGAACCACTCTAGACAGCAATGTGTACTCATGTTCAAATGTCATAAACAAGAATCACAAACATTCCTGAGAACTAATATTATTTAATTAAACAGATATAGCCTATGGCTCATTCAATAAATTCCACTATCTGTTCACAAGATGCTTGAAATACCCAAACACCCACGGATGAACATATCATCATTTGTTTTCTTCATTTCCATCCTACTTACACTGTAGGTGGAATTTTGTTTCTTTACTCAGCATTGGAGAATGGATACTCATCAATTTCCTTTGCTGCTGATCAAATTCTGATGATAATATATGCATCTAGCAAAAGACATGATAAATTGAGCTACTGTAAAACAGGAAATAGTGGATACTATCAATGATATCAACTCAATTGATAGTTCAATCTATTACCTTCTGTCCTTTCCTCTAATGGATTTGTGTGCAGGTACATGTGTGCATGTGTTTCTGTGTGTGTGCCTGGGAGTATTTTGCTATAAATTTCAACTGATGTGACCTTTAGATGGGGTTTTTCTTGTGACTTGAAATTGTTCTTTTTTCCATTCTTTAATAATGTTCTTTAGAGCAAGGCTACTTTCAATTCATTGACTATACATAATGAAATTGATTTTGTATTGTCATAATTTACCAAAAGATTTTGTTTCTATGATTATTAAAAGTACATCATTAGATCATATCATCATGTGCATAGAATTGTCTATTTTTAGAGAAAAATAGTGTCTTAGAATAAATAACCTTTGTAACTTGCAGTTTCATTAAATTTTTTTTGGTTCATTTTTTATTTTCTGTGAATGACAAAAGTAGCCCTTGTTTGTTTTCAAATTGTTAATCCTTAGAGCAGGCATAATTAAAACATGTAGCTCTAACTTTTATTCTTTTCTACCCCAGTTTATTAAAATATAATTGAAAGAACCTACCTGTATTCTTGAGAAGTAGATGTGACTAATGGTTTGCTTAGAACTTTTCCAGAGACATCGCTTTGTGCATATTCACCTTTTAAAATCTAACATGTTAGTGGTGTAGAAAAAAATTACCGTTTAATTTCTGTTTATTTTTCTTAGCTATCAAACTTGGAAGTTTTTATTTCAAAGGTCCAAATTTTTTTCTTCTAAATCAATAGTGTGAGATACAGAGGTTGGAATTTAGTTTTTATGATGTCAGAAGATCTTTATGTATTTGCATGAAAATGTATGTATACAAACCAAACCCTCACATGTGACTCAGAACCGAAAGAAAAATTAGTCAATAGAACTTGACCCAGATATAGCTGAATAAATTCTAAGAACAAATAAGGATTATAAGAGAGTTCTTAAAAATACACAAGGATTTAAAAGAAAATAATAAGGGAGAAAAACAAAAAAAAATAAACAAATAGAAACAAAAACCAGAACCAAATGGAATTTCTAAAACTCAAAAATTATTTGAATTAAAAATTTATTTCACTGGATGTTGAGTAGTATCTTCAATACTACAGACAATATCAGTGGATTTAAAGCATAACAATAATCACATAATTTTAAGCACAAAGATAAATAAAGTTAGAAAAATGGAAAAAGTCTCAGTAACTTTTGGGCTAAATCAACATTTATGTACTCTGAGTTCATAAAGGAAAGGAGAGAAACTGCAGGAGTGGAAAGCAAAGAAGTAAATAATTTATCAGACTCAATAAAGTTGGTAAATGTTCCTATTAAAAACCAAATAAAAATATTCAAATAAGGGAAATATCATCAAATTTCTGAGTACCATTGACAACAAGAACCTCTTAACAATAGGCTGAATAAAAGACTCATTACACAGATTTCTGACATGAGACTAACTCTCTAGAAGCTGCAAAACTATAGCCTCCATAAAATAAACCTGGTAAGGGACCTGTATCTGTAAGGCCTGAAAAGTAAGAATAGTTTATACATTTTCAAAGGGTTGGTCAAAATAAATAAATAAGACTAAGGAACAGAAACTATATGTGGCTTGCAAACCTTAAGTGATTTGCTATGTCCCTTTACACAAGAATTTGCTGTCCCATATATGCAGGACAAAAGATAACTTTGTCCACACTATTTCCTTGTTAGAGAAAGTACATTTTCTAGAAACCTCATTGTGGTCTAATGTGTACTTCTTTTCCATGAGGAAAGCTTCAGTGAATAGCCTTAGGTTATTCCACACTAGTATTTATGTTAGGTCAGGTCCCAGAAGTATATTAGATGGTTTCTGGACACAAACGAGATCATATGAAATGATCTTACACAAAACCAAAGAAAGCATTCCTGAAAGAGGGTCAGAGGTCCAGTGAACTGGGTATAGGAGATGACCTGTGCTGGAAAGTCTGTTTAAACAGTATTACACAGAACCAGGGACAAGCCTCCTGAAATTCTAACTACTTTTTATCTTCAGGTTTTAGTTTCTTCAAAGACAACAGGCTGTGGCCCTCCCTGGTGGCACAGCAGATTAAAGCACAGCACTAAGAAGCTAAAGCCGGCCCTCCCTGGTGGTGCAGCAGGTTAAGGCACGGCACTGAGAATCTGGGGCCACTTCCGCATGAGTTCGATCCCCGCCTGCCCCGGAGGTGACCACATGGCGTGGCAGACCTCTCCTGGCCGCCCGCTGCTCCCCTCAGCAGTGTACTTCATTGATCTGCCTGTTCTGTTTCCCACTCTGTCTCTGGTGAAGCCTCTGACCACCCCTGAGCCTCTGGCCTGTACCCCAGTTCTGTATGCACAAATAAATCTTTAAAAAAAAAAAAAAAAAGAAGCTAAAGCCACTTCAGCATGAGTTCAATCCCCATCCGGGAGGTGATCCACATGGCTCAGCAGACCCCTCCTGACTGGCCCACTGCTCCCCTCAGCAGTGTACTTCATC